CAAATTGGGTGGCTCCATGAGCTTCTGAAGGTACTCCTCCCGCTTTTGAGGGTCAGTCTCAGCTTGGATCATATAGCCGACCTGAAAATATGCACGCAAAGCTGGCAGTGTGAGCAGATGTTGCAAATAGAAAGCAATATTAAAAAGTAGTTGAGAAAACGACACCTAAGAGCATGGCCTGACATTGCTCCGAAACCAAAAACAACAGCATGGACTGCGCTTACAACCTAACAAACGAGCCTTGGGTTTTGCGTTTTGGATTAGATATAGACCCGGCAATGTTTTTGCACTAATGAGTGGAGTCTGGGTGACATTATTAATTTTTTTCCTTACAAGTGAGAGACCCAGCAATTATCCACTGATCCCACAAAGAGGAAAGCATCATTTCCCTGTTTACAAATATGGAGAATGTCACACTAGGAACCTGAAAATAACGGTTTGTAATATGGGTATTCTCAAAAAGATCGAGAACATCAGTACACTGGGGATCATATATATAGATCTAAATATATATAGACCATAGTCGTATACATAAGTATATTGTTCCCATAGACAAAAAACGTAACAACAGTGTGCATGTAACGCAGTGAGCCCCAACGTCATAGTACTCCTATGTTAAACTAGAAGAGGCCCACAGCATACTGTGAGCAAGCAGATAAGGCCCACGCTATCCCGTCTATAGAACAGCGCTCCTGGACTCCACAAAGCTTAATCAGAGCAAGTAGTCGCTTAATTAGAACAAGTATTCGGTGGCTCAAACCAACTGATCCACTTGCGTCAACACTAATGAGCTCCAAGATCTGAAGCGGCACAGATTGGCTGCACACAGCAGATCTACGATGGGAGAACGTCCAGGGTTCCCCACCTCACAATCGTTTTTGAATCTGGGAACATGCACAACTGCAATAAAAGGGGTGACAGAGGGTCCATATTTTACTGATATAAGGCATCAGAGATTTCCCATTCTCAAAACACCACTTACTGCTTCATAGAATGTATGAATTTGATGATTCTGTAAGTCCAAAATTGTTGTCGACAGGGCCTTCAGCAGTTCTGAAATGAACGGCTCAGACTCCTGAACCTGCATGTACGAGTTACAGCCATAGAGCAAATAGCAACAGAAACGGAGAGGCAACCGTCTAGGTTAACGACCACTAGTGGCAATCAACTTCAAAAGCAAACAGCATTTGACCTATTCCGGCGAGCACACGCAAATGCTACCAATGTGCCATTTCATACAGCAAACCAGAAAAGTAACGACTACATCTTGAAGGACGACAGCGTCCATCCTGTTTGATATCATACCACTACTTTTCTGGTTCGAATGACTACTTTCATTTTCCTTATCTATTCATCTTGAAGAATCACAGCACATTTGGATCAGATTTCCTCAGTCCAACTGGAGACAATATGCACCCCAGATGTGTTAAGCATATCGCTAGCGTTCATTCTGAGCCAGGATCAAACTCTGTTTTTTTATTATGGCTTAATTTCTGGAATGTAGGATTTGAACCTACAACAACGAGTTTACCAGTTCCAGTCAATCCAATCTTAGTTAGTCAGCTAGTTGAATTACCAATTGAACATAACAAGGTCCCAATCACTGGCTCTTCACTGCACTCTATTGAATATATAAGGAACTGAAGGCAGTATTTTACTCATGTTGAGTCATGGAATGGTTTCTTCAGCCCTTTTTTACTGTGTAGGAGCTCTATACGATCAACATAGAACCTGGCTTGTTAAATATCATGGTGGTTTAGTCAGTACAATCCCTATTCTTCTCTACGATTTTCCATGGTTACAATCCAGACGTCCGAACGGCAGTGCAGACGGTGTGGGTCTGGATGTCCAGGTCTGGTGTCCTGTCCAGAGTGTCCGGATCCGTTCCCCCACCCACCGAAAAAAAATCCGACTTAAAAAAGATATAAAAAAACTGAAAAAAGATACATCATGCGGGGCATTGCAATACAAAAATCTTCTGGTTGAGGACCATCTCCAAATTCACACAGCCAAATCCAAGGAAAAAACTAAAAACCTTTCATATAGTTTTTTTTGAAGGGTGGTTCCAATCCGGATGGTCTGGAGCAGTCCACACACAGGTCCGTCCAAACGTCTGGATTGATCTGGTGTCCGCATCCGCCGTAGCCATCATCCTATTTTCTTGTTTTTAATTTAGCCAATATTACTCTGCCAGGCACTAGTAGCTTCATTAGTGAGCTTTCAATTCGAGGAAAGATTTTATGCATTACTGATTGTCAAATCAGATATCTGGCGAGATGACTGAAATGAAGGTCTAATTGGGCTCCTCCAATTGCTCAGCACTTGGTCATGGTCACTCCTCGTGTGAAAGCCATGCTGTGCACAAGCTACATGCCCCTGCAAGCACAAAATTCCAMTTACCTGAAGAATAACGAACTTCCGTTTGCATTTCTGCACAATCTTCAAAAACGTATCGCACGCCATGTCCTGTGGGAAAAAAACAAGACATACGCACCCACACACCAAAACGTCAACAACTACATCGCTGCTAGGACAACTTTCATCACGTGTCCTGTTAGACATTAACTTGATCCAACCAGACTCTAGAAAGCACACCATAACTTAATGTAGGGCATTTAGTATCTTTGCGCTTAATGCGCAAGTTCCCTGAACAAAGACTTAGAATGAATCCTAAAATAAGATAAGAGAGCACAACCCTTCCTCAATTGACACCTCCACTTACACTGCAGAAGGATGCTACAATGAATCCTAAAATAAGATAAGAGAGCACAACCCTTCCTCAATTGACACCTCCACTTACACTGCAGAAGGATGCTACAACAACCAGGTTAAGAAAATCAATCACAAACTCACAATGAAAAAAGATGCTACAAGAACCATGTCAAGAAATTCACAGGAGTGTTGATACTAACTTGATAGGAAATTTTGACGATGAACGCAACACTTGGATCGATGTTCAAAATGACCTTAGATTAAATGTTGAAAAATTGCAAAACAGGCAAGGGCCAGATGGAGGACCTCGTCAGCCGATGCACAGAGTTTTAACCCCACCCATATTCATAGACCCAGTCCTGAGCAGTTTCCTTTACATTTGTAGATGTATTCTTCGAACTTCTTCCTGTTGAATACATTGTGGCTCATCTGAACAATCTCTGCCCATCTCAGCTGACATGTTTGAGGGGCTGCAAGGGCCAGATGTAGAGGACCTAATCAGCTGCCAATGTACGTAAGTCTAACCCCGCCCAGTACCATATTTTCATAGACCCAGTCTTGAGCAGTTCCCTTTGCATTTATAGACATGTTCTCCCCCTTCAACACATGGTGGCCCATATCTCTAGATTCGCTACCCATATCAACTGACCTTTTTGAGGGGTTGCAGCGGTGGAGTACTGGATGGGAAGCACACACACATAGGCACAGCGAGGGACAGAAGTTTTGGCGCATTCACGGACAATGTGCAGGACCTTAAAGCCGAACGGGATTCCCGAGCGGCATCGGTATGATTGAACTACTTTGCATCGGTAGCAGTTCAATCGTATTTATAGATATAGCTTTCAGCGATGCCCTTAGACAGTACAGGTTTACAACTACCACCTCAGACATATATGAGAGAGAACCACCCTCCCGTTTGAGACAACCCTTCACGGTATATCTCAGTGGTAGTCAGCAAAAGAGCCGCATGTCACTGGACTCCAAATATACAGAGTTGACATCTTGGCTATTCCAACTCAGTAGCAGCGCCTCCGAAAAGCCGAGCAGGCATGCACGAAAAAACTTCCCTGCTTTCTACTAACATAGTCAGATATCTTATAGCCTTAAACCACCTGCTTGCTAAACATCACATACGCACGCAGTTTATCCACATAATCGGAGCTCCAATCCTGTCCAGCTTTATGTTCTGAGCACACCCCATTCTCAACATATAGGGTTTATCAGAGTTTAGACTCTTTAGAGAGAGCGTCTTGCATTCTTTACAGAACTACCAATCAATCAAAAGTAGAAATACTTGGAAGCGCCAATACAACACAAGCAATGGCCACGTATTGTTAATTTTCTATGCCCCTCATTTGCCTCAGCAGTCATGAAGTCCTAGATACAAAGGCCCCAGTTGACAAATGGCACGGACCTGTACACCCGGATGCGTCTCATGCATGAATTCGAAGAGTTTGGTGACGACAGTTTTCAAGAATTTCCAGTGCGCTCTCAGAAACCTTGGGTACTGTCCAACAACATACCTGTCACCCAGCCAACATGCAATCCAAATCAGAATGTAAGAAGCCTAGCAGAAAGAATTTGAAGCAAGAAAAAATGAATCACTCAGTGCAGTTACATAACGTACATTTAGAAGAAGAAGAAAAACGTCTGACGAAAAGAGAGTGAATGCAACGGATTTGAAGCAAGGGGAAAAAACAAATCAAAGATCCTTTATGGATGAACTTTGCATCCATCCTCCAATGCAGCAGCAAATTGCTGAGTACGGCTACTCTTGACGTACATGATGTTGCTTGCAATCACTGCCTTGTGGTCCTTCCCCCTCGTCATCTCACAGAGGTTCAGGAGATCTCGAATAACATGGACAAGGAAGCGGTTCTCCTGCAAACACATAAACAACACAGGTGAGAGTCCGTGAGACCAATTTAGAACATTCATCATTGCGGCAAAATGCCCAATTGCCCATCCCATTTGTGCCTCGGACACCAGTAAGCTAAAACCAAGAGACAGTTCTCTCTAAAGGAGCACCCAGACATACCTTTCCTCGATCCCTCTATTGCTACCCGATATTTTACACATTCTTTTGTTGTTCACCATTTCATTATGCCCCCCCTATACCTTTAAAACACAGCACCCCAGTATCGGGCTGATCAACCATCTGGCACGTCTTTCGTAACTTCACAAATCAAAACAAAGCAAGAGAGAAAAAGAAACCAACCTGGTGATTTCAATTGCAAACCCTGTTAATGATATGACTTCTTTGCAACTCGACGTTCAACCATTATTACCACAGTCATGCTGTGCTGTGAATCACCATTTCAGCACTTCCTACCTAGATCAGGACCCCCAACAAACGGAAACAGACGTAGCGTGCTCTGCTATGGCAAAACCCCATGCATGTGTCTGCATCACATGCCCTTTGTACACCATTCCCAGCCCTGCTAGTGACAAACTGCCGTCCAGTCATTCTCAAGTTCGCATGTAAGGGGAGGGGAAAAGGGGGGGGGGGAAGGGGGGAATCAAGTCCACATCTAATCATTCGGCAGTTCACCAATGCCCATTCAGCAAGTGCCAATGTGCATGAAAAAAATCCGTCCGACAGAGCAAACTAGGGCACACAACACCATGTCAATGTGAAATGTGTAAAGGCTAACAAACGAGCAGGACCCGACAAGGAGGACCCTATAAGCAGGAGCTCCAGAAAGCGAAGCCTGCAAAGTCGGACAATAGTTGTGCACGTTTGAAAGACAAATGCATGCAGATGACACAGTTGTTTAACGGATCGGCAAAGTGATGAGCTCGTTATCACAAGGCACAACCGTCTCACAATCATCTCAAACGCAGATTAACAATGGCAGAAGAACCACTAAGCAAGCGCACTTCACAAAAGCTTGATGATTTGCATTCCATTACAAACTCACAAAATGATCAAGTGAAGGGCAGGGTTGAAGTCATAGCCCTGAGTACTTATCCATAACAGAAACAAAGTGCTTTTGTGAACTGCAAAGTCCGTATCTGCCCTTTCGCAGGCAGTACCAGCTCCGAGGACTTCAGGTGCCAGACGTCCAATCCAAGCTTCATGCATTTCCAAATAAATTGGCCTCTTAGCGCATGACAGACACAGCATTAAATGACCATACAAGGCCATTGACAACGCACCTGATCTTCACCCATCGAGCCAGATATAGATCCGATTGCCCAGCAGAGAGTGTTGAGATTATTCCAGGACCATTCTTTCCCATTCAGCTGAAGAGCAAGCTTGCTAATCATCTGCACAGATTAAGGAAAAAGCCGAAATGACACGAGTATTAGGGACTGACTAATTTGTCCACATTCGTCTTCTAATTGCAATTCCATGGCCTGTGATGCACAAAAACCTAATGTTCATACGTGCACATAATGTCATGCAAATCACTGAAGGTCGTGAAGTTGGACCCGACACTAAGCCACCTGTAACTCCCACCCTGACGGCATACTTCGACTTTTCCTTTTCAGGGTGATTACGTGCAAGCATATCCAGAAAAGGCACACGGTATGCCCCTGCCCCCCTTCCACTGTCCCTTCCATTGAGGCTTTGCAAACCAGAAGAACAACAACTTTCAGGATTACATGTGTATGAAGAAATTTGTACGACGTTAGTGCAACTCAAAAATCCACGTCCTTCATATTCATAGAAAACAAAACTTTTTAAATCAATTCATTGGGCAAACTTGAATACTTGAATACTTGAATACAACGCGCTACAACGCATATGTGTTGTCCAGTGGAACGAAGAAATTTTGTGGTCGAGCTCTTCATTTTTTTTGTGGTTGTTTATCAATTTGCTTGCAACTCGACACGGAGTTGCACATGGTTCGTCTTCTTTGAAACAATATGCACCTTATGTTAGGTCCAGGAGAAGAATAGGCCCAGGTACGCCCTCTCTTTTAGACCCGGGAAAACTAGGGCGCAGTCAAGATTTTCAGTTTTGAATGCGTTCCAGTCACGGTTTTGTGAATTTTACTCCAAAGCGAGGAAAATCGTGAATGTATCCAACCCAGCTTTAGGGTCTGGTGGGGACTGTGCCTTAGTTACCCCTTTATATCCATCCTCCTCTGTTCTCCTTTAACCAGTGTTTCCTCATGCCACTTAGACGGCTTCGCTCATCACAGCTCTTAGAACCTAATACAGTAAAGGACCTCTACAACTTTCCCCCACCTTGGCTGACTTCGGCATAGGCTCAATCTGATACATTGAAGAAGGACCCCACCACTTACCCCAGCTCGAGTCCTTTCCTCTGCCCGGACTCCCAGGAATGATTGCTTCACAGTATCTACGGGAATAATTCTCCCCCCTTAGTGCTAGCCAACCAAGAAGAGTCACCAGTCATGCTGCCAGCATGCTCCACCTCTGCCGCAGGATATTCATAACAGCTAGCACATCTAAGACGGTCTCTTCTACAGTATGTCCAAGGCCAAGTGAACAACTGTGTGCAAGCATCGGTCAGATCATCTCTGCCATGGCTGCCAAGTCGTTTCACCTGAGCATTTTCTTCTCGCAACCCAACGATTGCGGCTTAGCATCCCCATCTTGCTCTCTGATCCACTGACCTGTTCCAGATTGTGACATCAACATCAATCATCCTATTTGAGACCTGGCAAACAGCCTCAATTACAAGGCTCCCAATAGCCAGCCAGTGGTTGGGCCCCACTGCCGCACAAGCAGAACACCATCTCCACCTCCCTGCGAGGCCCTACTGATGTTACGTTCATGCTGAGAAAGCCCAAGCTAACCACCAAACTGCCAAAATTCAACCTGGGATCCCCGTATGGCACAACAACACTAGTGGCTCCTGAGAGTTACAACGGACCCCCATTTCATGGCTGACAACCACGTGGGCAAACTTCACCACCACTGATATGTTCAGTAATGGCCATAAAAACAACAACGACCACAGACAGCATCTCCGATGGGCCCACTTTTACCGGCCAATCCATTTAATGCCGACCACAGTGCCCAGGTGCTGGCATCACTGCCCGCACAGGCCAACTTAACATTGACTTTTTTCGAACGGTTACTTAACCGGAGCATCTCATACCAGATTGCCTTGTTTTGGTCGCGGCCGTTTTCACCCAGCAGCCCTGTAGGAGGTTTTCGACAGTGCATGTGCTCTCATGTGAGCTGCCCATGGGAGCTGCACTTGTACATATCTACGTGTGCATGTGCATGTGCTCTCATGTGATTCCGAGACAGATGCAGCAGTACCTGATTGAGGGACTTGCCACACTCGGCACCATTCTCTTTTCACTCGATACAGACCACCACCGATAGAAAGAAAACAAAGAAAAAAAAAGGAAAAAGAAACCTCACAGATTAGAGGAAAAGAGACTTATGTCAAAGACCGAGGCAAACGCCATCAACAACATCTCAGCCAAAGACCAACTTGGAACAGCATACATTTTCAAAGATACTTTTCCAGACACAAAAGGCTATTGCCGTGTCTGACATCATGTGTGAGATGTAAGATGTTTAGACTGTTTGGCCTATAGAGTGGACGAAGGAGATGTACACAGGAATGATACACAACAATTTGAAATTCCTCCATTCACAGCACTTGCCTGCTCTTCAGTATCTGCATGGTCCAAGTTTGATAAGTAGATTAATGTCTCCCGCATGATCTGCATCACATTGATACATAGTCCATACAAAATCAACCAAACTAAGATCACAACCCACATCAACGATCAATGTACTCGCAAACAAACCCTGTCTTTGCATAAATGCCAATCTCGATGATTCTAATTGCCTGTTAAAACAATAGCGTAGAAGCAACGTTGAAAGGTCACAATCAGGCCTTTGAAAGATACAGACTTCCTCATGTGTGGCAGGTTGACCAGGACAACAATGCAACATCCATCCACAAAAAGCTGTTGTTGCACTCTTCTGCTGGAGAAAGACACTCGAGTCTGGAATCTGGTTTCAATGTTGGCCTCATACGCATCGTGCACAGAAAACGGCAGACTCCGGACGAATCGTTCACAGTACTGCCATCATACTCAGTTCCAACTTCGAAGGAAACTGCTTGGGCACAACACCACAGCCGTTTCTTTCTGGAATATGTATACAAGTTAGTTGCCTGACAGGAGTACAAGTATGCCTATTTCCTGAAAGGAGTACACATATGTCTACCCCACCATATCCCTATGGGGTATAGCAGGATTTGGACCTGCGACCATTAGGTTAAAACAAGTTAGTTGCCTAACAGGAGTACAAGTATGTCTACCCCATCATATCCCTATGGGGTATAGCAGGATTGAACCTGCAACCATTATAGGTTAAAAGCCCAATGCTCTACCAACTAAGCTATACACCCAGAATCAAGATAGGCTTAGTAGGATTTGAACGGCAATCAGACTCGCTTTCTTTTCCGCTTCGCATACATGCATACAGATGGCGATTCACACTGGCGCACAGCGCCCACTCAAAGCTCAGAGATATGACAGCCGAGAACACAGTCCAGATGCAAACTCGATCCAACAAGCTATGGCGCATCAGCGCCTGCACACTCAACTCTCGTCACTGTGTTCAACACCACCCTTCGCACATACTCAACTCTGGATCACCCTGAATACCACCACACACACACACACTAAACCTTTCTTCCTATCACGGCTATGGCCGCTCTACCACTACTGACTATGGCTACGATCTCGCTCTTCAGCCCACTTCGACTTCGGGCAACCTGCAGACCACCTTCGCACAAGATGCTGTAGCAGCGCTTCCGCATGGCTTACGCAGCGAATGATCTGCCCCTTTCTACCAGGCCCTGGATGTGCACAGTCCCACACGGTACTTGCTGGACCGAACTCGGTAGGACTGGGACTGGCAACTTCGACTGCATGAGGTTGCACTGCCGACTCAACGCAGTTGGACCTACGACTCACCTACAGAGTTCTAGCCTAGCAGTTTCGACCTCTACACAGCTATGCCCCCTACTTGACAGACCTACAGATCGAACCCCTACATCTACACAGACCTACGACAGACAAACAAACAACTATTGAAACACAAGTCACTGGTTCAAACACTCGGGGTTCAACTCGATACTGTACATGGGTAAGGTGAGGTCTGGGGATTGAACTCTAGGGCCCGCATCTATGACTGCAAAAGGTGAAAACCGTTTCAGAACCTTCAATATCACCGTTATGAGGTGTGCATTTGAACCCCTATTAAACTCTATAAGCAAGTTCCGGCCTACTGTACTAAGGACAGATGAAACTAGGGCTAATGACCTTTACAACATCACCACCTTTATGGTTACCATAATGGTTAGCAGGTGCCTTGCCCTCTCTTAGTTGGTTACAGCCTATGCCCGACAAGTGTGAAGTAGATAGTTCAATCCTACTTCGGCCCACTCTGCTGGTAAGCGGCACTCAGAACAGCCTTTTCCTTCAGCCTCTCAGTCACGGCGAACACATGAGCCACGGTCGGAATCAAGCCGATTGATAGGGGAAGGTACATGCCCCATGTGTAGGCAGGCTCCTTGTTCCAGTGATATCACAACAGCAACAACAACAACAACATCAAAGACGAAACGCAGTGCACACTTGCATGCATGTCTCCCTAGCGTTCTCCAATTGTCAAAACCCTTCGTGGACTTCATAACAGAGAATGTAAATGCATAGACTATCCCTCTGCCGAAGAAATTGAGAAAATAAACATGTAAAAGGAGTAGTTTACAGCACCCAGCACATGTTGGCGAAGGGTACTTGGCCCAGCTATCGGCCGCGGAAAAAAATAGAGTAGAAACATTTCTAGTCGGATGAATTTCGGCGCTCCTGTAGTAGCCCATACGTTTCCTAAACACATGGCGCGTTAACGGGCACGACTCTAGGAAGTACTGGTGGTTTAACTGTTGATAATGAATTCGAGCAAGACAGATACAACAATGTTCGATAGGGGCTACCCCCTTTACTGAAAAAAAGGATACCTCACCCGAAACCAATACCCACCTTGTACTGGACTAATACATCATTGTCTTTCATGGTCTCCCGCACTATATTCCCATCCTCATCTTCCACAATCAACACCTCCTCTGGTTTGGCCATTCGGCTTATCATCAACAACCGCAGCTTCGAAAGCGGAACTTTGTACAGCTCTTTCCTTGCCGATGGCACTGGGGCAGCAACACCATCACCAATTGGGGCATTCACCCGCAGCCCTGGAACAGCAGAGTCGATCATACTGCACTCTGACTGATACAGATCACCGACAAAGAAGTTCCAGTAGTCCAGACACACCTGCACGATCACAGTAGAAAGACATTTGTGAATACCAATGTGCTCCAATTTCAATTGGAATATAGACATAAATCTAACCCAAGGTTGAAAAGAGTTTGTAGGGCAGAAGGCTCCTCGGCATTCTGCATAGTACACTTCCTGTTGCTAACCTGTTTCAGCCTTTAGTCTCACTATGGGCTCACACTGTATGGCGCCAAGTCGTCTCGGATACGTGGCCTGGGTTGGGTGCTCCGCGCACAGGGATGACTGCGGCACTGTGATCGAGAAGTGAAAGGTACATTCACAAAATGCACAGGTAGCTGCGTAGACAGCTCTATCCATACCAGTGCATGCATACAGCACAATGGTCTGGAAGCAATGCATGGTGAAGTTCGGAGATGCCAAGATGATAGAGATGATAGAAATGAGAGAGATGAGAGAGATGAGAGAGATGAGAGAGATGGGAGTGGTGGGAGAGATGGGAGTGGTGGGAGAGATGAGAGAGATGAGAGAGATGAGAGAGATGAGAGCGATGATTGGTGGGTAGGCAGATAGGTAGCAGCACAGGTAGATGATTCACAGGATACCAAATTAGTAAATTAGCAAACAAATAGATAGTTGGCGAGAGGAGTCAGAGGACCCATGGCCCAGTAGATTTCTATGATTACCGGATTGGCCAGCAGGTCAGGAATCGGTCAGTAGATAAATTAAGAAATAGGTAGCTGGCTAAGCAAGCAGATAGGTAAGTAACCAGAGGTGAGTGCATCGCTAGGTAGAGAGAAGAGGATAGTCTGTTGCTGATGGGGTACACTGACATGCAGTTACAGGTGAACGATGGATCGATAAACAGACAGAGATGTAGAAGACGGAAGTTTGGAGAGACCGAGAACCCATGACACTCTACCGAGCTCCCAGGCCAGGCCCCACTGGAAATCCTCAAATTGCCCAAGGCCCAAAAGCGATGTGGCAATCAGAAAAACCTTTCCCATACACTGGAAATCCAAAACAGATGTCCTCAAAATCAATTACCTTGAACAGCTCCGTTTCCTCCACGTAGGAGATGTCGATGAGACAATCCAGTCCCGCAAGAAGAGCTTCCCGGTTCTCAACATAGGGCTCCAAAAGTGTGATATGCGCCTACAACAAAAAGCAGTCCACGGCACACAAGATCAACTCATGTTTGACAATCACAAAATTCCTCATAATTTGAACAACACTTAATCAAGCAAAATTTCAGAGCCCATTCAGCAGGACCGAAGTGTTCCACCATGGCTGTCACTGCCATTAAAAAAAAGCATTCACAATTTCCAGCAGTCCCCAAAAAAAGTAAATATTCAAGAAAAGTTGACATGTCACAAGTCAAATCTGCAGAAAGAGAGAGGAATAATTAACCCCATGAGGGCAACCTCGGCCATGAGAAACACTCCCAAAGACGTCCACAAAGAACAACCACTTGAACCATTGTTCAGGGCCTCTCCCGGGTCGCATCCTTTCCACCAGTGTCAATAGGTGTAGCAAATCCCAACTGTACAGCACTAGATCTCAGGTAGAAGGTCAGATACTTCTTTCCCAAGCAAGACCCTCAGGCTTTTTCCCAAATACTAATCTCATACTTCATTGGCCGCCCTTTTTCCTCGTTTACTGAAAGACTATGCCAGCTGGAGGCAGGATTCGGACCTACGTAGAAATATAACCTTCAACAGATTTACAGTCCGTCGCTTTTAACCACTCGGCCACTCTCCCGAAGAATTCAGCATCCTACAGGATTTGAACCTGTGACCTTCAACTTAGAAGGTTGTTGCATATAGTCCACTTCGATATTGGTCCAAAGCCTATTAGACGATTAGTTTGCTGCTACAGATCACACCCTCCTCCATTATTTCTGCTCAGTGGCCCTTGAATGTCATGTTAAGTGTGGAAACGGAATTCCTTGCCTCCCTCACTCTCATCTGTGCACTCCAATCCAATACTTTCCACAGGTTTACTTGAATAGGTACCCAGCACAATAAGGGAAGATAGCTGCATCCATGCCCCAGCTGATAAATACAAGTGAACATCACAATTTCACTCAAATCAGTATCCATCACAAGAAGAGGAGAAAGGCACATACACTATCCTGAGGATGAACACATCCAAATTCAAACAACGGTTTTTTGCACAAAGCATGACACGAAAGGGACTCGCACTGGAGGAAGCCAGTGAAAGAAGCAAAGCACTCACCTTGAAGTAGGCGGTGAAAAACAGAGCCAAGTTCTGAATGAATGCCTGCACGATCCCACAAAGTGAAAATTTTTGTTACCATGCCGTACAACTCATCACCACCATCATCATCATCATCATCATCATCATCATCATCATCATCATCATGTCAATCAGCCTCGACCCTTCTGGACTCTTAACAGCATTCGATTTCATCGAAATACCTCACAGGTGGTTGTTCATCGCGAGGAAGCATAATGATAACACCCTCTCTGAAGCTGCAAAACCAGCCTGAGGGCCAGGCACACCACATGAACTCGAGGAGAATTACAGGCAGCACCTTGCCCCTACCACAACCCTGTACCTTCACTAGTGTCAAATCAAAACGGACGACATATGCACCCTCAACTCGACATGGGTATTGGCTTTAGGCTCTCTAACTTCCAAATGCTCAAACAGGAATAGTTGCACCAACTGTGAAAGGCAACAAATACAGAGAACCTGCTGAGGAACCAAACACCATTAAAACCAACGGGTTTAGCTGAGTTGGTACTCCTACGAACTGTTGAAATACAGACCGAAGTTCGAATCCGGATGAACAGAATCAAACCATTCTGGATTAGCTCGGGCTGGTCAGATCAATGATGATATATAAAGGCCCTCGCCCTTTTAAAAAGGGAGAAGAACAAAAACAACAAAAGCAAAGGGCAACGAACTGAGTCCATCAGAACGCTGAAGAAAAAGAAAGGAGGGTTAAAGCCTCAGGGGCAACAAAGCCCTACGATGAGCATGCATGCCATGTGACATCAGTGCCGCGAGCACCTGCAGCGACAAACTGAAAGGACTGAAAACAGTAACCAATACCACAATCGAGGGAATAAACTTGCAGTGAACAGTGAACTGAGTAAGGAGCGATGGAGAGTCAATCTGCTGAACGACATCGCCCCGCACGAGATATACACGAAACAGGCCATTGGTGACAACATGCGTACCTGATCTTCATCGGACCCCTTCTCGTATGCAGTTGCCAGAGCAGTTCCACGAGGAAGAACCATCTGCACACAGAATTACAAAAGAACGCTGTCCATGAGCATGCCACAAAGGCCACTAACAGCAAACACGATATAGAATGGCCATCCTGGAACAAGCAAGCACTCAAAGAGCATAGACAGATGCACACATGCACGGACCCTCTCTCTCTCTCTCTCTCTCTCTCTCTCTCTCTCTCTCTCACACACACACACACACACACACACACACACGCACACACACACACACACACACAC